AGAGTGCCCGCGCGAGGGCACTATCGCTTGCGCGACGCTTGTATTATAACGCATTGTGTTTACGTCACGAATCTCCTGTGTCTGGGCGCCACGCAAGAGTATTTCGAACGGGTGTGTTTGTGTCGCGAACGTTTTGTTACATCGAATGCACCGGCAAATTAGGGAGTATAAAGAAGGTATATACGCATGAAAAGTAGATTCAAGTCATGTGATGCACTAAAACATTAATGCCTGCTGTTGGTGCACTATGCTCTCATAGTGTTGCTTTGCGAAGGAATAGCCCCCCCTCCTTCCCCTCCCTCCCCCCCTCCCCCCCCTCCCTCCCTCCCTCCCTCCTCCTCCTCCTCCCCTCCTTCCCTCCCTCCCATTCCTTCCCTCAGCAACACTATGAGGAGCATAGTGCCCCCAACAGCAGGCATTAATATAAATATGAACTGAGAACATTTCAAATTTTCATATTTTACATAGCTATATATATATATATATAAGAAGTTTAGTTTTCCAAATGCAAGTTAAATTACACAGAAAATATTGAAATGACAACAACTGGAGACATAATTATGCACTCCAGTTGTTGTCATTTCAATATTTTCTGTATATATATATATATATATATTCACTGTTTTACAGCTTGCTAGTGTCAATGGCACCATTAAGCAATGAGATTCGACCAGTAAGCAGCTGTACACCACAGCATATTGGACCTGCCATCCCAGAGGTAACATCATTGAAATATTGAAAATTAAGCATCGTTGTTGTTGTTGTTGTTATTGTTGTTGTGTTGTTGTGTTATTGGTGGGTGGCGGCGGGCGGTGGCGGCGGCGGGCGGCGGCGATGGCAGTAACATTGTTGTTCCGGTTATTGGTTTACTGTGTTTTTGTATTTTAATGTTTTTCCTGTTTTCTCTGTCAAACTTGACCCATAATGAAAGCCGTAAAAGTAGGCGTGGTGACAACTGATGAACTATAGTCAGGTGAATTAATTCACTAAAAACGTGTCAATATTAGCATGACTCATGATTCCACTAAGAACCAAATTTTATGCATTTAAACTCAAAATGGGAATGAAACATGTATAACTAGCTCTGTGGCATAACCCCAACTGTAAAGACAGACTGCAATATTTTTGTATTGACAATAATTTGATTTTTGGTGTCATTTGCAGGTAAACTCGGTCTGGTTCAAATTGTTCATCTATGTGTTGACGGGATGTGGTCCTCCGTCATTACTTCTAGTGAAAGGCACGAGACTTAGTAAACTTCCAAAAATATTTCAGGTATGAAGGTGGAGCATGCAACGGTGCTGCTTTTAGTGCAGGTGTAGGTTAGGTTAATGTTGGCTCGACCAGCAAGCGTTCATTCGGTATTCTGAATTTCCAGAACAATATTGTCCTACATTACAATAAAATTCAGCGTGAGCACTGTGAGAATAATACAGTCAACCCTGTGAATCAGAGTCACTCAAAAGTCAACTATCTTTTATAGGCAAATGTTCACTCTATAAAGGCAGTTTCACTGTATAACTGCAACTTGCAATCAGTATAATTTGTATGCAGGTGTCTATTCTATACATGTATCTGCTAACACAGGTATGACTCTATACTCTTTACGAATGTGTATGGTGTACATTGTGTTTAGGCTAAATAAAATGTTTGTTTTTTTCAGGATTATGATAGGCTACTGATAACAGTGTGGGGACATGACCCGAGTGTAGTGTCAACTGCCAATGTATTGCTAACCCTGAATGATGCATTGTCTCACTCTGCAGTTCTCATGCAGGCAAGAAATTCTTGTAGTTTTATGCAGATTTGAGTGTATGTATTTAAGATTGACATATTTTGCATGGGTCATCATTTGTTAGTAAGAATTGCCAATAGGTAGTAATGCCAGTGTCTATGCTAGCTACAGATGTATGTACTATTTATGAGATCTTGTGTTAGCCAGTTTAACAACTCAAATTCTAACATTTCTTGGTTATTCAGTAGTCTTTGCGGAAGGTTATTAGCAAACATCACGTATTTTCAGGTGCATGGACATGTGGCTGATGGAGAAACTGTATTCATACCATTTCCTATCGATAATTCAGTGAAAGAAGGTAATTTTGCATTTTTAAATGGAATATAACATTCACAATACAAAGAGTAAGATGGTAAGACAGAATTTGTATAATCCACTTCTGATATTATATAAATATTATAAATAGAAACCTTCTATAGTTTACCTTTTCATCCATAAAGAATTTTGGGTTGCAACCAGCAATATCGGTGGTGTGTAATTACTCGGTTGTTTGGCAGCAGAGTTTTCAAAGAAAAGCATGCACACTCACCGATCAATCCGTAAGCTGTGCGAAGAACTGCAGCTAGAGCATACCTGTGGATTCATCAGCATGCTGTGCACCGGCCGTTCTGCCAACCTCTCTGCAAGAAATAACGACACTCCCCACAAAGTCGCCTGTGACAGTCCCACAGCTGAACGACGAGCAGAGGGTAGTGATAGTGACAGTGACACAAAGCCTCACTCGTTAGACTTGCAATACGTGACTTGCGGTCAGGCTGAGGCCGACTGGATGCTACTGGACTGTAGCTATGGAGTGCCACTATTTGATGCCAGTCTCAACAAGCGAGTATGTGAGAGGATTGCAGCCAAGGGAATATGCAGATATGAAAGGTAAGCAAGAAATGTAACTCTGCTTGTGTACACGTGCGACTGCGTCAAGAACTAGAACAGAATGATATGGTTATGTTTGCTAGGGTGTTGACAACTGAACTACAATTACGTGCATCGTTCTGGTGTTTTCCAGTCTTCAGGAACTATTAAAGTCAAGCCGAAAGTTGTCACTGAAGCTGCTACACTTCATTGCAGAAAATCAGGTAATTTTGTTTTCAAGCATTTAGAATGTTACAACTAGAAGGAAAAGCTGATGAAAATATTATATTATATAAATGTGTGATATTTTATCAGCTTCGTCTACTACTGTACTTACCGTTACAAGTTTCACAAGCTTTTCTTACCTATATAATATGTATGTGTGCGTGCGTGCGTGCGTGCGTGCGTGCGTGCGTGTGTGTGTAAGTGTGTATGTGTGTGTGTGTGATTTCAGATGAGTATTATGAATTGGAATTTCGTGGTATTATTTCAATAAGATAGTAACTCTCCACGTCTAGCTGTAGCTACAAAAGTCAGTGCACGAAATTCTAACATAGAGGCTCTGTTCTGTGGCAGGAGCTGACGGTGTCGGCAGACGAGCATGGATTCCCCGGCTCACTCAACAATCGCGATCAGGTGGTACCATATCCATCATCGAGTCTCCTGTACTGTGATGGCAAGCTAGAAGCGTGGGAGGGTTACTGAGCGGGCTGCGCTATCGTACCCTTACGGATAACTAACTGCAGAAAACGCAATAGATGCACATTCATGGTTATTTGTTGCTGCGTGGAAATGCCATTGATTTCCTGTTGGGTAACTATTAGTTTCTTTTGCTGATTGATACAGCTGTAGTCACCAATTATACCATAGATGATTTATACATACATATACGGAACTCTATTCATATCCACTCTAACACCACTCTTCTTATCCACCCTAGCCGAATTGTGAATTCTTCAGCCAAAGTTTTTGCTGTAATTACTGTATTTTTCTTCTGGGCGGAGCAGATGACTTTGTTGTACTTGTTGTTTTGGCTAACCTTCAATTGTGATGAAGGGAGGCAGTGTTGCAATTTAAGGCTTTGTTCCAAAATGGAAAATTAGGTGGCTTAAGTCTTTTAATTCTTTTCCTTTAAAACGGACAAACATTTTAGTTGTGTTTATTTTCACTGTCTGTCCTGTAGTTTATATACAGTCAGCCAAGAGAGGGATAGTACTTATCCTTATAATATTAAGTGATATCCTTCTTTGTATCAATGTATTTCAGTAGGCTTTACTGTATTAGATGTACACGTCCGTAGATACCATGTTCGCGTTTCAGGATGATTGTTGTGTAGTAATGACACGCTTATATAAAATGTCAGAACGATACGTTGCACGTGTTATCCACTGGTCAGAGGAAGTTGCTGATACACTGATGGCAAAATACATTCCAGTCGTAAAAGTTATTTTGCATAGCAAATTTCTATTCCATGTATAGGTTCACGATCGTGATATCGTATTCCGAAGTATGATATGTGCTTGAACATATGTATAGGTCTACGCATATGTTCACGATATACGTGTAACCCATATAGTTCAGATGTCATATAGAGGTACAAAATGTTGTGACAAGTATTTATTGCACGACAGAATTACTCTTTGCACATTTACCTTGGACGTCTGCAGGTGAAATCGCATGATTTTGTGACTGCAGCCTCAAATAGGGTATAACAATATACATATTTATATTATGTATACTAGTAGACTATGTATAGTATGTATACTATGTATACTAGTGTACATATGTTAATGGTATTTGCTGTCGTAATTCGAAGAGCAGTTGAGATGCAATGTTAGGATTAAGGTGTATCATACTGTGTGCCTAGTAGACTGCATATCTGTATGCATTATTTAAATGTGAATGCGTAGTGCTGTAAATATTGGGGTCGGCTGCGAAATAATTTGCTTATATATATTAATAATCTTCGTGCCTGACATCGTTGAACTGCGTACACTAATAGTCATAGCATGGTTCAGATTAACTAATATGTGTACATATCGGGTACAATCGCTAGTATTCACAAATTTCATCTGTACGTGTTTTCGGTTGCGTTTCGCAATGCAGACGCAAAAGCGTGGTGAGTGAAGAAAGTTTGACTCCTGTAACGGCTATTGTATTTCTGGTGCTTAGCTGTTTCGATTAGTGTCGCCCTGACAAGACGTAAGTCTTGCTATTGTGGTTTTCATCGTCATCTCCGCAGTGTCTACTCTGTTGGCTAAAAAAATCTAGCGCTATATATCCCCAATAAAGAACACTAAAAACAGTGGCATCATGCTGTTTTCACAATAGCGAAAGTAAACACACATATAATGGTAGGAATGCATTTTCGATGACAGCGAAAACCCTGTTTCCAAATTAAATATGCCAAGTCGTTACTAAGTTATTTATTTTCAGTTTTAATTGCTATAAACGATTTTTCCGGTTTCTTTGTGTACAGGTTACACGCACGCTGTGATGTTAGAACATGTGGTTATTGTGTTACCTATAGGGGGTTGGTCTAGTGCATACTATGTCACGTTTCATTACCTTACCTCACGTCTTAAAATAGGCTATTTATTAACGTGCGTCCAACAAGATTGCTAGGAGTGCTGGTGGTCGTGGTGACGCTCTAAACGCAGTTATTACTATCAACGATATGCCATACATCATATCCACCAGACGCATAGACGCAAAAAAACCTTCAGAAATTAAAGTTGGTTGTTCTAAACTTTGTGCCCTCAGGTGACAAGATGGCTCTGTAACGCTGAATCGATCAGAGAGTGATAGTAAATCATAAAATGGTGCATGTTAAACCTTTTGTCTGATGCCCATGAATGCTGGTTCATCACATCAAGTTGTCGACATGTGTTACAATGATACATATCTGCACAGTGTATGTCGTGAAGAGCTATGTTCATGCCGTTACTAGGGGAATCCATGGGAATCAAATAACACCGTGTACTCCCGCTGCGGGGACAACCATACTTGCACGTAAATGTTGTGATTATTAGGAATTATTCAACAAATAAATCGAAGAATAATGAAAGAAATCATACGGTTATGCATATTAATTATCAATATCACTAATGTAATAAAATGTAATTATTTATTAATTATCAATACAATATAAGTCGATAATGTAAGTAATGGGCAAACCTACCCAGTCACTGTTGTGCCAAATTTTCAAAACATCACCATGGAAACTATACCTCACTAACGTTTAATAAATAAATAAATAAACATAAATACATATATTTCTTTCTTTCTTTATATATATTATCAAGAGCTAATAATACCTAAGGTATTATTAGCTCTTGATATTATTATATATATATTATATTATATACTTATATATAATCAATGGTATATAAAAGATAAACATATTATCTATTAACAATAATACCTATTACTTAATTGCCCGTCACATTATTGTAACATGTCATCAAATGACTACCAATATTGAATTTCACGCTGGTATACGAATGTTTATTCTCGGGGAAATACCCGGATACAATCCTATGACTCATGTCATTCATAGTAGCTATTCAGCAGTTACTGTACACCTCGCAAACTTCCGAGTGTGCGACAGCGCACCTACGCGTGACGTCCTACACATCCTCATTCTGCAATCATGGGATATTGCACGAACGTCATACCTACTACACGGAATTCTTAGAACAGAACAGTACGGGCTAGAATTTTTTTTAGGGCTAAAAGGCCAAACTACCTGGCTGTACCTAAGCTAGGTCCACACCCCATGGCTAGCTATAGCCCTGCGTTATTATCCACGTAACCGTGGGCTACGCAGTAAAACTATCCAGATCCAAATCCAGTTCTGTTCTTGTCAACTCGGCAGCGGTTCTGGAAATCAAGGAACAGGATTTCTCTGCGGCCGTCTCAGCTAAGCTGTGCCGTCGATCAACAGGACTTCTTTCCAAGGGACGCTATCCTGCGCCATGTAGCGTCGTCATCGTAAGCGTAGCCTCGCAGTTTAATATATTCTGTGTAATACCCGTTTCGGGCTCTCCCTAGGCAAATTAATTATATACCTAAGCTTATATACGCGCTAACCGACTACTGAAGCGGAACTCTTGCGGAACTGGTAACTGTCTGTTGTAGTCTGCTCACTGGACCGTCTTCTAGATCTGTTGCAAATACCACCGCGCAGACAGAACTGCCCAAACCGGATTTGTTCGCCGCGAATACTGGCTGGCCGGTATCATGCGTCCTATTTAGCTCATATTCGCAGCACACAACAAGGAGATAACATGTACACACGGAAGAGCTTACAAGCCTAGATATATATTGGTCTGCCAGTATTGCATGTCGACAAGAAATTTTGAAGAAGGAATACGCGCGTGTGATACACGTGCATCCACAACAACTACCGCTCATCGACAGGAGAAATTACGAAAAAGGATTACACGTGAGTGATACGTGTCTCCATCCACGTATACTTTTACGACCACTATTGTTTATCGACAGAAAAAATTACGAAGAAGGACGACGACGAATGCGTGTCACACGTACATTTACGATCACAATCGCTCATAGACAGGAGAAATTAGGAAGGAAAACGCGCTCGTCTGTGCCTCTACAAATTGACGATTGCGGCAGTAGACTCGATTACAAATTTCCAGCCGTGAAAAAATGAGTGCTACCGATTCCGCGCATCCGACGCCGTTATGTAACGAACGCGCGAACGACGCGTCTAGCTCGCGGACACCCCGCACCAATATGAACCTGCTAACCACCGACAACCTGCTCCTCGTACTCATCGTCATCGGCGTCGTCGTCGGCATCAGTCTCGGCGCCGGCCTGCACGGCCGAGGACTCACCGACAGAGATATCATGTACCTGGGCTTCCTCGGCAGCATCTTTCTGCGCATGCTCAAGGCGCTAATCTTGCCGCTCATCATATCGAGTCTCATTTCGGGTCTTGCCGATCTCGATTCGAAGCTGTCGGGTCGCATGGGATGGGTGACAATCGTCTACTACATGTCGACCACCTTTACGGCCGTGTTCCTCGGCATCGCACTCGTCTACGCCATCAAGCCGGGCTACTACGGTAGCTCGGCGGATGAGGTGAGGAAGCAGGGAGGGCGGCCGTCGACGGTTGCTGACACTTTCCTGGATCTCATTAGAAGCATGTTTCCGTCGAACCTCATAGGAGCTTGCATTACGCAGGTATTGTAACTGTAGTATCTACGTAGTGATGTGTGGAATGATCTATACGAGGTGGGGTTAATGTGGCGTTGGTGTTGATGTGACGTGATGAAGCATGTGGACTGATGGATGCAGGTACTTCGAGTATAGCATCGATGTTGTAAGATGTGATGGGTGCACATAGGGTAATTGTAGCATTGTTGTAGTAGGGCCTGGAGTGGTGGGCGACTGTAGCATTGATGCAGTAAAGCGTAGAGTGACGGGCGCAGGTACTGTGACTATAGCATTGATACAGTAAGGCGTAGAGTACGTGACGGGTGCAGGTACTGTGACTATAGCATTGATACAGTAAGGCGTAGAGTACGTGACGGGTGCAGGTACTGTGACTGTAGCACTGATGCTGTAAGGCGTAGAGTACGTGACGGGTGCAGGTACTGTGACTGTAGCATTGATACAGTAAGGCGTAGAGTACGTGACGGGTGCAGGTACTGTGACTGTAGCATTGATACAGTAAGGCGTAGAGTACGTGACGGGTGCAGGTACTGTGACCTGAGCATTGATAGCAGTAAGGCGTAGAGTACGTGACGGGTGGCGGTCCTGTGCCTGGGACTATGGCATTGATATCGTAATGGCGTAGAGTCATGTGACGGGTGCCGGTAGCTGTGCTAGATGGCATTGAACGTCAGGCGTAGAGTCGTGTACGGGTGCGGTACTGGTGACTGTAGCATTGATACGTCCGGCGGTAAGCAGTACGTGACGGGTGCAGGTACGTGCCTGTCGCATTGATACAGTAAGGCGTCGAGTAAGTGCGGGTGGCAGGGTACTGGTGACTTGTAGCATTGATACAGTACGGCCGTAGAGTACGTGACGGGCGCAGGTAGCTTGGTGACTGTACCTGCTACCGTAGCTGAGAGTAACGTGACGGGTGCAGGTACTGTGACTGTCGCATTGATACAGGTACGGCGTAGCAGTAGTGACGGGTGCGCAGGTAGCTGGTGACTCGTAGGATTGCTGGACGTAAGGCGTAGCGTACGTGACGGGTGCAGGTCTGTGATGGTCGCATTGATACCAGTAAGCGCGTAGAGTAAGCGTGACGGGTTGCCGGTACTGTGACTATGGCATTGATACAGTAAGGCGTAGAGTACGTGACGGGTGCAGGTACTGTGACTATGGCAATGATGTTGTAAGATATGGCGTGATGGGTGCCGTGCGTGATTGCAGCGTACGTTGCTGTATTAATTAACGCGTGGACTGGTGGTGAAGAAATGCTGTAACTAATATATAGCGTTGAGGCACATGGTGTAAACTCCACATTCTAACAATTTAAATTTACAATCTTACAATTTATACCCCGCACAGACTGCAACGTAACTAAGTATCTACGAGCAGACATAAGTATCTACGATGATTCTGATGACGGGCCCCAGGTTTCTTACGCAATGACATTCTAAATGTTTCCGGGGTTTATGCGCAGGAAAGTACGATGCTGATCGTACCTAAAGGACCGCTGGCAGAGCCGGAACCGGAAATCTACGCGTTTCAGCAGAATTACACCAACTTCACGACACCTTTCGCTGAGCCGGAACCCACCGACGGTACAGAGCGTTCGTTGTTCGTGCTGCCTACGCCAATAAATACTACGCTAGAGCATAGGCCTATAGGCTCAATATGACAGTTCGTGAGCGTTGTGGCGTGTTCCGTGGTGCGCGGAATTATAACCTAATCGGCAACTTAATTGCGGTTACGCTACACGACATATAATGCAATTATTCGACTCTTAAAAATCACATTATTTGCTTAATGTCTGAGAACCTCAGCGAAACTCTCTTCCAGAGATCACCAAGGGCAAAACGACATCAATATGGCTAATATTTACATACGATGACACTGTAAACAGAAATGTGGAAGCTAATACAGTATATTGCAGCGCGGCAGAACAGTGTAAATGAAACAAGGAGTGTGTACTTACCTACACGTGCTACCTGTAATCCGTGGTTTCAGGCATCGACCCTGACGATCCGTACACGTGGATGTTCAAGGTCGGTCACGTGGAATCCGGCATGAACATCCTCGGCATCGTCGTCTTCTGCGTCGCGTTCGGCATCGTCATCGCGCGCATGGGCAAGCAGGGAAAGCCGCTGCGAGACTTCTTCGATTCTATGAGGGAAGCTATCATGAGAATCGTGAACATCGTCATGTGGTGAGCGCGCGTTGCTGCGAAGAATGAATGAATGAATAAATGAACGAATAAATAAATAAATGAACGAATGAATGAATGAATGAATATATGAATGAACGAATGAATGAATGATAAAATGAGCGAATAAATGAATAAATGAACGAGCGAACGCGAACGAAAAAAATCGCTGAATGATTTAACAACCACAAAAAACGAACGAACAAATTCACGGACAAACAAACAAAGAAACATATCACTGAATTATTGAACGAAAGAATATATGAGTCAATGAATAAATGAATAAACGAATAAACAAACAAACGAATGACCCTAATGATTGAACGAACGAACGAACGAACGAACGAACGAACGAACGAACGAGCGAGGCAATGAACGCCACTTATCACCGTGCTTCACATTCCGCTACTCGGTTATGCAGCGGAGATTTACACTGTGAACATGTAATCTACAGGTTCTCGCCGATCGGCATCTGTTTCCTAATTGCGGCAAGGATCGTGGCCATGAGAAACCCAGCGCAGATGCTCGGCCGCATAGGCATGTACATGGTAGGTATAACAGGCGGCCTGTAGCCGACTGCACCGACGGCGGGTTACAATATTCTGTGGAGCAGCTGCGTGGAGTTATGACGAGAGAGGCGTCCCTCTCAAGTCCCAATCAACGTGCATGGTGTAGCAGGGCGGGTCTGAGACGAGAGTTTCATGGAAGACTACATAATAATTAAAAACAAAATTCGAACTAGTTGCACTCGACAGGTTTCAATTTAAGTTTTATTTAAAATTTAGAGGGTTGCCGTTCTTCTTGGAGGCTATGGTTCTGTGTATACACGAGAGTACATAATTTCGAATTTACCAGTATTTCGAGATTTCAAATCATATCAAAAATAGATCTAGTATTACATATAGCGTTTACAAATTACAATATGTGCATTATCTAATCTGATGTTCACATTGCAGGTCACCGTTCTCTCGGGACTTGGTATTCACGCTTTCATCATTCTACCTACGATTTATATTGTGTTTGCGCGAAAGAACCCGCTGATGCATTTTCTAGGAGCAAGTCAGGCGTTGCTAACAGCTCTCGGAACAGCTTCAAGGTTGGTAAATGCAATTACAGGCGGCACAGTTTGCGTTATTGAAGTTGTCTCTTTAGCCAGGCAATTACATGCCTATTAAACATAACACCGGTTGTCTACATAGCCCGGAACCCCCGGGCCCAACTAACAAATAAATTGCGCTGTATGACAGATCGTGATGGTGTACTTTACACCAAGACAAGTTTCTAGTGTAATTGCTAGGATGATGGTAATGACGATAATAATAATGACGATAATAATAATGACGATAAATAATAATAAATAATAATAAATAATAATAATAATAATAATAATAATAATAATAATAATAATAATAGTAATAATAATAATAGAAGTCACCGGCCAATGCCGTGATCCACTTTGGAAATAGTAATAATAATAATAATAATACTATTATATATAATAATAGCCTAACTGGCAAGCCCACCCCGCCCCCCCCGCTCTCAGTCCGCAGCGCGCCCCCTGCCCCGGCTAGCTCGGCGACGCTGTCGATCACCATCTCTAACATGGAGCAGAAGCGTCACATCGACACGCGCGTGGCACGCTTCGTGCTGCCTATCGGCGCCACGATCAACATGGACGGCACGGCGCTGTACGAGGCCGTCGCCGTGCTCTTCATCGCGCAGGTGAACGGCGTGTCGCTAGACGCTGGCAAGATCATCGCCCTCAGGTAGGCCGCGTCGTAGCTCTCTTACCGGGTTAATACCGTAAGTAGCGTAAGTACCGTAAGTTAAGTACCGTAAGTAAGATACCGTAAGTAAGTACCGTAAGTTGCGAGAGGTAAGCGTGAGCCTTGTGCGTGAGACTGTAAGCGTGAAAATGATGCCACAGGCTGCGATCCGAACCGGCCGCAATATAGCGAGTAAAGTGAATCTAGTTGATAGAGTACTAATTCATTTTTTGGCCCATTTGTTTTGCGAGAATTTCTTCCAAACAAGGCGTGACCTCGTACCCTTCGGCACCGACCTATATCCTACAACGCGATGCATGAATTTATGATTTTCCCGGAAAAACGGAGAATATATTCCGCTTATACAGAAAATTGTTACAATGCCCCTTTCGCAATGCCCCATTCATTCATATACCGAACGCATTTGCTTCGGGGAACATGCGTATTTTAAATAAATGAAGCGAACACAAATGAATAAAGCCACAACTGATTATCTAGTGATAAATTTATTTTACGATAACCCATGTGTTTAACCTGTTAGCAACGGTAGTCGAAACTGTCGTTAACGGGTCAAATAAATGGATCTATCGTAAAGTAGACCTTCTCCGATTAATATAGCTATTCCATGTGTACTGTGTGTGTACATCGTTGGTTGATGCTTGCCCGTTGGTCGATTGATTGCTGGTTGGTTCGTTGGTTGTTGATCGTTGGTTGGTCGGTTGGTTAGTTGATGGTTGATCGTTGGTTGGTTGTTGGTTGAGAGTTGATCGTTGGTTGGTTGATCGTTGGTTGGTTGGTTGGTTGATGGTTGATCGTTGGTTTGTTGTTGGTTGATGGTTGATCGTTGGTTGGTTGTTGGTTGATTGGTTGGTTGGTTGATGGTTGATCGTTGGTTTGTTGTTGGTTGATGGTTGATCGTTGGTTGGTTGATCGTTGGTTGGTTGGTTGGTTGATGGTTGATCGTTGGTTTGTTGTTGGTTGATGGTTGATCGTTGGTTGGTTGATCGTTGGTTGGTTGGTTGGTTGATGGTTGATCGTTGGTTTGTTGTTGGTTGATGGTTGATCGTTGGTTGGTTGATCGTTGGTTGGTTGGTTGGTTG